GTATTTTTATTAATTTTTTTTTTAATTGTCATTTTTGTGGTAAGGCAACTTTAACCAGTTCGGGGAAAAATAGCGCAATCTCAAGAAATTCTAATATAATTTTTTTTGTTTTTGTTTATTTTGTTGTTAAATGTGAGTTGGCTTTAGCAGCAATCTTGTACTGGATTAGCACAAAATGGTAATCGGCTGTAAAGATTCAGACAATGATTATTTCCTGAAAGTTTCAACAAGATCCGCCCAGCGGTTCGTGATATTTTGCTGACAGACAGACCGACACAGACAAAAACACTGTCGCTCCAGCAGAAATGTGATGAGTTCATCAAGACCGAAGACATCCAGCAAGAATAAACTCTGTTCTCCAACACGCTTCCTTTGTAGTGATTCACGTAAGCTGCAGTAAGACGCTCGGCTCAGCGGCTCATAAAGTTAAAGAGCAGCGCAAATGGAACAACGAACTGTTGTGAAAACACGAGTGTACTTTAGGATTATAGATAAAAAGCAACAACTTCCCTTCCCATCTAAAAATACCACCTCCAGGACACGAGGGAGAAACAAACTTCACCACAAACTTAACATTTCCTACATGAGTTGTTAATGTCTGTCAAAACATTGCAAACTGGTTTGTTTGTTCCCATCACTGACCCTGCTGATGTTTTCCACAGGATCCAGTCAGCAGAGCTCACACAGGGCAGCTGAAGTGAAATCTTCTAGCCCCCTCTCCTGGCCTTGGGCAACTAATGCAAGAAAGCAACAACTCGAGCCACTTTCTCCTATTTTCCCAGTACCTGTCAGTCCAACACCCAGCCACAAGTATGAAGTCACCAGCCTAAGAGCTTATTAAATAAGATGACGGCACTACTTTGACTGTTTTTAGGACGTTTGACCTGAAAAACAATTCATCCAGGATGACTGAGAACGTACACAAACATGGAATCACCACCTTCGTAGGAAGAAGAACAATTTACAGGTATGATCTAAAAGTATTTAAGTCAGGAGCTGACTGTTCTGGTTTTGTGAATATATCAATATAATAATATAGTATTATCGTACTTTAGATAACTTGTGTTACACGGGGTTTCAGTTTTGATATCCTGCTATTCAAGACTTAAACGTTTAATATTTCTGAGTTTGTGTTTTATTCCCCACCGTTAAACATCATCTTTTATACATTAACAGGTTTGTACATTGGTGCATTGTTGCTACCTGTAAACCTTTGTAAAATATTTGTAAAGTAATTGTATTTTCTCAGGATAAAAAAAAAACCTGCCAACTACTACTTTGCTCTCAAACATGGTTCAGTTTTATATTAATTAGAAACGTTAATTATAGATGTGTCTGTGTATTTTTAACATGGACATACTGCTTATTGTTTGTCATCAAAATGTTATTCATGTTATGTTAATCATATTCCCTGAATATGATTGTCAACGAGACTATTAAACTTGATATAGTTTCCTGTTGTGGCAATAGTTCAGACAGGGCAGAGGTTTACAACCTGCAGCTCTGGAGCCACATGTGGCCCTTTACTCACTCTACAGTAACTCCTTGTAATTAAACTAACAAGTACATTTTTCATAAACTGACAATAGGAAACAATATTAATGTATGTATTTAAACACGTAACATGTTACAGTCATTTCTCTAACAGAATGACACTAATAATGCATAAAGGTTATCTGTGTGAACTGACGTTTACAGAAAATGGTGAGTACATCAGTTAGTGTTTCCCCACCATTATCCAAGGAGGGAGCCCCGCCCTGTCCACAGAACTCACTGTCCTGCCTACAGGATCCTCTCGCCAAAAGTTTGCCTGCTTCCAGACTTAGCCACAGGATAAGTGACTTCAACCTAGCATTAGTAATGTAGCGCTCTGCTACCACCCTGCCCAACAAGCACCCTGCCAAGACCAGTAATCTAGGAGAAACGCTGACTCATCACTTCTTTACCAGAATGAGCTGAAAGGGACTCGTTTTCACTAGAATGTGTTTGAAACTCAATGATCAAACAGGTCACTTGTTGAGCCTGTTCTCCATTTTAGTAATAAAACTTTTTCACAAAGCAAATGTGCCAGAAAATTAAAATTTTTTTCTAATTATTTAATTTAAGGCAAATTGTTGTTTTTTTTCCGGCTGCTCCTGCTTCAGGGGTCGCCACAGCAAACTAACTCACACGAAGACTTGGTGATTGATTTTACGCAGGATGCCCTTCCTGACTCGGCCATAGACCACCATGGGCAGCTGTGGCTGAGTGGTTAGAGCAGTCGTCCTCCAATGCAAGAGTTGGGGGTTCAATTCCACCAACAGTCACATGTTGAAGTGTCCCTGGGCAAGACCCCTCATAGCCTCTGATGTGTGTCCATCAGTGTATGAATGTGATAAATCTCTGATTAGTCTCTTTAGAATGATTTGTTCAGATTTGTAGAGATCTAGTATAGAGCTGTATGAATGGGTAAATGAGGCACAGATTGTGTAAAGATCTTTGAGTGTCTTCATAAGTTAGAAAGTTGCTGTATAAGTACAGTCCATTTACACCGAGCTACCACAGCCTCTGTGGAGCAGAGAGCTGCCATCTGAGGTGCCCGGGGGAGCAGATGGTGGGGGTTAAGGGCCTTGCTCAAGGGCCCAGAGTGGGGCAAATGAGGGTGGAGGCAGTTGTGGGTGCTTCACCTTTCTCACCCACATTTTGATGTCAGTCCAGGGAGTTGAACCATCGATCTTCCGATCACAGGCCCCCCTTCTCTAACCTCTGCGCCACCACTCCCCACCATTTAAGGCAAATCGTTGAAAATGCAAAATGGCAGTTTTCCTGGTTTATTTTGAATTATAAATTAGAAAGCATTAAAATATGTTGCTGAGTACAGACAGTTGTAAAATTGTGAAAAAATGAACGCTTGCCTAAAGTAAACGTTTGTCAGGTTAGATACTTAAACTTTTAAAGGTTTTCCTGACGGCTCGGCTGGTTTGAGTTCCCGTGATGTCACAAAAAGAAGCAGTGTGTTTGAGGTGTGCCTTAAGTCATCGAAAGTTGTGCCTCCAATCTTCCAAAGCCATCATCACCATCATCACCACCATCATCATCATCATCACCACCATCATCATCACCATCATCACCATCATCATCATCACCATCATCATCATCACCATCATCAGACCTTTCCCCATATTGTTCAAAGAAGTTTTTTTTTTCACTTGAGACTTTTGAAGAAAGTAATTTTTTTAAATCCTCTCATTTTCCCCCTCATAATTTAGGCATTTAGCAAATTAAGTTATTGTAAATCTTTTTAATGTCTATTTTAGTCTGATTTAATGCCTGACAGTAAATTTAAAAAATGGCTGTAATCGTGGGGCTGCCGGTTCAAGCCCAGGTTGTGTCAGGAAGGGCCAAATCTTTCATGTTTGTGGCGACCCCTTGTCTTTTTATTCACTGCATGTAATCATGTGGTCCAACCTCTATGTAGTATATTTTAAAAATTAAGTTTTTAAGATACAAGGAGATTTTGTGGCTGCGTGCAAACTTCATTTAGTAGGAAAAGTGGCTGACATGACTCTTTAAAAGTTTAATTTCCCCTATTTCAGTTTCTGCAACTTGGCAGCCTTATGCAAGACCAAGTGAACATTGTAGTGCCTATATTCTTTTTTTATTTACAGCTAATGTAAACACTTAACATTTAGCAAATTTGGTTTTTCAAAAAAGAAAATCTGCAGGAAGAAATAAAAAGAGATTGAAAACACGACAATTTTTTTCCAAACTGTTTTCTATTTTACACACTCGTCCAGAACAGAAAAAAACTGATTTGATAGGATTTTCAAGATTGTTTAGGAACCCTGGTTCTAAAATGCACAAGTAAGCAGCACCCACAGTCACAAAGTATTGGCGTAAGGGGTGAACCAGAATAAAGTTTAACAAGGTTCAACAAACCGAGACGATAAAGGTTAAAAAAGAAAAACAAATGAATCATGAGTAAAAAGCAGAAGTTCATGTTTGAGAGAAATCTGCTGAAGGAAATGAACTTTCCATCCCCAACACCAAACAAAACCACCATTACAGGCTCAAACAGGAGAAAACAACAAGGAATGTGTTATTCAGGAAAATACACGGTGTCTCTTAAACATTCAACCTGTTCCCCCCACAGATATCAGCTCAGTGACTGTTTTTCAATCTTTACGGTGGAAATTTAAAAACTGTCGCTCACAAGGCTTCAACCTGCTCAACAGTTCTGCCAAGTGGTAAATTAAGTTGAAATCTGTTACTAAATCAAAATAGGTTGTACAAAAACAGTGCAATCTGCTATTCAATGTAATAACTATGATTTTTCTGCCAAAATAATAACAAAAAAAACAATTTTTTAAACTGTAAAAGAATAAAACTGCTTAATAAAAGTTTCTTTCTGAACTACTTCTCTGGCCGTTTTAAGCATTCTGAATGTGTCGAACAGGAAACGCATATTTATGATCATAATTCAAACACATGGCTGTTTTCTACAGAAGTGAAAAGCTGTCGCTGTAAAACGCTGAAAGCTCCACGTGATCATAAGATAGGAGATGGATTAAGTGGAAATTACTAAATGACATTTCCTCTTGCTTTCAAAGCAGATGAAGAAAAAAAGCAAAAAGACTGATGCAGCTTTAGTCACTTCGTGTTGCCCAAGCACAGGGCTGTCGATACTTCTCCGTACATTAGACAGCTAAAAGGGAGTGTCCAAAAGTTTCTCACAGAGTGTCAGAGAAAACCTGATCACGACGTGCCCGAGGCAAAGGAAAATAAATTCAGCTTTGTTGTAGAAACGAGCTGTGTATGGCACACAAGACGTATTCATTTCATACGTTTTACTACAAAAGAAAAAAAACTGGCACAAAATAAAGCACAGAGCAGAGCACAGACAGATCTCAGACACATCTTCACAATAAAAACAGATAAGAGATGGAATGAATGGTGCAATCAAAAAAAAAAAATAGAAATAAAAAGCCACCACAAATATTCAGACTGGAGGTGTAACTTACGAGGCTTCTGACCCCAAACGTAGAGCTGCAGCTTCTCAGAAGAGTAGTAAATAAAGACCAGGACCAGCATGGGACACAGGACAAAGAGCAGCTTGTGTGTCGGCTTCATGGCACCATTCAGGTCATCACCTGCAAATAACGAGTCGAGAGAGGACAGGGTTTTATTTGCACACCCCCTAACAGAGAAGACCATGCTGCAGCAGCTGAACGACGAGCGACACAACTAACAAGGTGATGCATGGGTGTGGGATGGTGTGTAAAAAAACTGGAGTCAAATGGGAGGTAGCAGAGCGACCAGGAGGGGAACATGACACCTGCTGAGGAGCCACGACGATGTTCTGTAAGCATCACCCTCCCTCCCTGAGGACTGCACAATGCTGCACGGAACATCAAATCACGGTTTAACAACTTTCTCTGGCTCTTTTTCTGGCTTTTCCATTAAAAACAATTAAGACCTTTTACGTGAGGTTCTGCCTCAAGAGGAGTTCAAGTATCTCGGGGGTTTGTTCACGAGCGAGGGAAGAATGGAGCGTGAGACTGACAGATCGGTGCGGCATCTGCAGTATTGCGGACTCTGTGCCGGTCCGTTGTGGTGAAGAGAGAGCTGAGCTGTAAGGCAAAGGTCTCTGTTTACCAGTCAGTCTATATATACCCTCACCTATGGTCATGAGCTCTGCATGGTGACTGAAAGAATGAGATTGTGGATACAGGGGGTTGAAATGAGTGTCAGAGGATTTTGGTCAGAGGTTATGGAATTATGGATATATTATTACATGTGCTTTCCTTTAAAACAAACAACCAAGTTGTCTCTCCAAACACTCTCTTATCCTGCCCAGGGACTTTATCTGTGAAGACCAGGAGGGCCATGTGAGACTGCAGCTGGCTTCGAGAACACCCACTGAAACCTTGTCAAGCTGATAAGGAAATAAAAAGCGAGCAGACATTACAGCAGTTGCAGATCACTGTGGCCGGGCTTCAGGTGTATACGATTAATGCACATTGATGTGAACTGTTACAGTATCTGTCCATGCAAGTGAAATTGTGTCGGAGATAAATCACCTGCCGTGTGTGAGTGTGGTTCTTTTGAGCAAACATCATTTAGAACATTTTCCTCAAACACTGAGTTTCCTCTGCAGGGCAGCTGGACTCTCCCTTAGAGACGGGGGGAGAAGTTCAGTTATCAGGAGAGACTCGGAGTAGAACCGCTGCTCCTCCACTAGTGTTGTAGTACTCGAGACCGGTCTTGGTCTTGTCTCGGCCTCAACTTCATTTGGTCTCAATCTTGTCTCTGTCTCGGACATTGAGGACTTGGGATTTTATTTCAAGACCACAACTGTGGAAATATGACTAAACTGCCAGAATATTGTCCAGTTTATCTGTTCACTTGTTTTATTGGATACAAAACGTACTGGTTCAAATCCAAGAGATAACACGACCCCTTGCTAAATACATGTTTTTGTTACCGCTGTCATGTCCACCCCCTTTCACTCACACGTGTTTCTGTACCAACAGAACAATACAGACAACAGAACGTAACGTCGCAACCAGGGGTGAAAGTAAGCCGGTACGGTCGAGTACTGTGTACCACTAAAAGATTCTGCACCAGTATGCAGTACCTGGAACAGACGGGAGCAGGTGTCTGCTGTAAAGCCTCATTCAGAACCAGTCACAGCTGCACTTTGGGTCAGAATAGATTCTCCAACAATAATCAGTCTAACCCACGACTTAATCAGTTAATAAATAGCTTTTTTTTTTCTCATTTCAATTTTTTTCTGAACAGTTCGTGCTGGAGCCTCGTTTCTCTACCGCAGTGAAGTTAGTTTTACGTTGGACGTTCGAGCTCGAGTCTTCAGCGGTGTGTTCTTCTCGTTTGATCCGAAGCAGGCAGTCTGATTTCAGTCAGCTGCGTTCAGTCTGTCCCTCCTCCGAGACGTAATGGTTCGCTTAGGGACCGTCAACAAATTACTGAACCAAACACTCTTCAGAAACAATTAATATAATTTACATCATTTGACCCACTGACACAAAACTAATGTTAAACTACTCTAATTGACCTGACACACAAGTCACCATCATTTATTTCTTATTTTAAAGCATTATATAATTAGTTATTGAGCAAAAAACATGATTTTTGAACAAATAAATTATGAAAAATTAGAAAATGCTTTAAAAAGAGAAATAAATGAGGGTGCCTCGTCTGTCAGGTCTAGTAGAGAAGTTTAATATAAGTTTTGTGTCAGTGGGTCACATGACATGAAAATGATTGAGCAAAAACCACTGAATGTCTGATTTCTTTCGTATGTAGCTTTGAAAATTTATTTAAAAAAAAAACCCTGATATATTCATTCAAAAGTAAACTTAAAGTTGCAGTATGTAACTTTTATTTTTTTTTTAAATGTACATATGTTTTTTACATTTTTGTTAAAACTGTCAATATGTCATGACAGTATAAGACAGATAATCTGTGAAAACATTGAGCTCCAAGACTTGAGGTCTTGGTCTCGACTTGGTCTCGGACCCCAAAAGTCTTGGTCTTGTCTCGAGACACTCAGGGCTTGGTCTTGATTAGGAATTGCGACCACCCGGGCTCTCATTTCCCCTCCAACTCATGACCCATCCATCCCACCTCTATCTGTGGCTCTATTTGACCATTTTGAACCCATCACTCTATCTTCTCTAGAGCAGGTCATGTGCAGCTTGAAACCTTCTGGTTCCCCCTTTGATGTGGTCCCCCCTCGACTACTAAAGGAGGTTTTTCCAACTCTAGGTCCGTCCATTCTTGCCATAGTAAACAGTAGTTTATCCACTGGCGTGGTGCCAAAAAAATTTAAACATGCTGCTGTCCAGCCTCTCCTGAAAAAAACAGACCTTCACCCCTCAGTCGTTTCCAACTTCAGGCCTGTCTCCAAACTCCCATTTGTTTCTAAACTATTGGAGAAAATAGTTGAGTCCCAGTTGAAGTGCTTCCTGGAGGATCACGGCATCTTAGAGCTATTCCAATCTGGCTTTAAACCTCTCCATAGCACTGAAACTGCCCTACTGCCCTGTCTAAAAAAGATAAATCTGGTCCTCTGAACATTCAAAAAAACAAAACAAAGCAAATCAACAAAAAAATGTAGAAACGTTTCGTCTCTCATCCGAGAGACTTCCTCAGTCTGAGGAGCTGTATACAGCTCAGTCTCTTAAATAGCACCTTCTCAGAGTGGATCAACCAGTTTGCTGCTGACAACCAAAACCAGCTGATCACATGGATCATTAGCACCTGATGGCTGTTTACTGTTCACAGAGGGCTGAGTGATACTAGCAATCACAGCATTGTAAGAGGGGGACAGTTGAACCCGGAGGCCTCCACCCCTGTTTAATGATGGACGATTTCTTTTCACAAAGATGGCCTCCTTTACTCCTCTCTCAAACCATCGTTCCTCTCTGTCCAGGATGTGAACATCTTCATCCCTGAAAGAGTGACCGCTGGCCTGGAGATGAGTGTAGACCGCAGAGTCCTGGCCTGATGATGTTGATCTTCTGTTCTGGTCCATCCTTTTGGCCAGTGGCTGTTTTGTTTCCCCGATGTAAGACTGATCACCCTCCTGACACTGAACAGCATACACAACATTGCTCTGTTTGTGCCGGGGGACTGGATCTTTGGGATGAACCAGTCTTTGCCGTAATGTATTTTGGGGTTTAAAAGCCACTGGGACGTTATGTTTAGAAAATAAACGTCTCAGTTTCTCTGATACTCCCTCAACATACGGAATGACCACTGATCTGGGTCTGGGTTCCTCCTTTTCACCTGATGGCTGACTGGAGTCCTGTTTGGGTTTCTTCTCTGCTTTCAGGAAGGCCCAGTTAGGATATCCACATTGCTCTAGAGCCTGTTTTGTGTGGGATTTCTCCTTCTGCCTGGCTCCTGAGCTAGTGGGGATGCTGTCTGCTCTGTGGTACAGAGTCCTGATGACTCATAACTTGTGCTCCAATGGGTGATGGGAGTCAAACTGCAAATACTGGTCTGTGTGGGTGGGTTTGCGGTACACCTCAGTTTGCAAATGTTCTCTATCAGAGACTGAGACCTCACAGTCCAAGAAAGCCAACCTGCCATTTTTTACATCTTCTCGTGTGAACTTGATGTATTTATCCACAGAGTTGATGTGGTCAGTAAAATGTTGGACTTCCTGAGATTTAATTTTAACCCAGGTGTCGTCAACATACCTGAACCAATGACTTGGTGGTGTCCCTGAAAAGACTCTTGGGGCTCCGGGCCTGTGGGCAGCTGTGTGTCTGTGGCTCCGGTCCTCCCTATGTTGCCATTGTGTCCTGGGGGGGCGGGTCTGTGGGCCCCCGCGTCCACTATTGGGCATTCTTTTGGAGAAATCTGGTGGTGGTGGGCGTGCTTGCGCGGGTGTTTGGATTCAGGTGTTTTGACAGATGCACGCTAGGTTGGGTAGTGGTGAAAGCTAGATGATTCCTTGTGCGATGTCGAATGTTTTGTGGTGATATTGTGGGTGGCATTGTGCTGTGCATGTTGTTTTGTCGTGGTGGTCTCTCGTCTTATCTATTTCTCTTTTATTATTTATTTATTCTTCTTTCTTCTCTTTCTTTAAAAAAAAAATTTGAGCGATGATGATAAGTTCATTGAAACACTTCACAATGTTTCTACACTTAAACTGAGCTCAAAAAAAAAAAAAGCATCTTTAGGTTCACTGATAAAATTTTGGGACACATTATTAGTATCCTCAAATGAACCTAGTAGACTTTGGGTTCATCGGGTGTTTCAGACATAGCACTACTACCACGATGGCTTAGTGGTTAGCCTGGAATCTCACAACAAGAAGGTCTTGGGTTCAATTATGGGTTTGGACTAGGGGGTCTTTTTGTGTGGTGTTTTCATGTTCTCCTTGTGTATGAATGGGTCTTCTCCGTGTACGCCGGTGTCCTCCCACAGTCCAAAAACATGTACTTTAGGCCGCGTTCAGGTCCAGGCCTCCCTTGCAAAAGAAATCTGTGATCTCAGTGGGATTTACCTGATTAAATAAAGGTTAATAAAAATAAAAACTACCCAAAGAAGGACAAGCCACTGGCTTAGACTACGGAGCCCCAGAGGGGACATGGGGGATTTTTTTTCGTTTTGCATTCCCACACAAAAATTATTGTGTTTCCTCGCAATGCTGTACTGTATGTAGTGTTACCTCACAGACAACAGCAACAATGGAACAGACGTATTTGAGGTTCATGGAGTTTGTGCCTTGGTGCTATATAAATAAACTGAATTGAATTTTGAAATCAGCCTTAAATAGAAGGATATCCAGTGTGTGCTGCAGTGGTAAAATTAGTTTTACGTTGGATAATTCACGTTCATGCTCCGTGGATTCAGCGGTGGCTTCCTCGTTCGAGCCGCCGCAGACGGTTTGACTTCCTTCAGCTGATCTGTCTGTCACTCCGAGGAGCAATGGTTCTCTTAGGGCCCGTCAACAAATTACCGTATTTTCGGAGTATTTGTCAAAGCAGCACTAATTATCATCATCGCTCCTCGGAGGAGGGACAGACTGAGAGCAGCTGAACGACATCAGGCTGCCTGCGTCGGCTCGAACGAGGAAGTCACCGCTGAATCCACGGAGCATGAACGTGAAATATCCAACGTAAAACTAATTTTACCTCTGCAGCACACACTGGATATCCTTATATTTAAGGCTGATTTCAAAATAAAACTCCATGAACCTCAAATATGGGTGTCTGTTCCATTGTTGCTGTTGTCTGTGAGAACAAAAAAGGTTAAATCATGTCATGTGGACCAGTTTGTTTGAGGGAGGAACGTTTGTTGTCTGTCAGGTAACATTACATACAGTACAGTACTGCGTGGGAATGCAAAAGAAAAAAAATCCCCCATGTCCCCTCCGGGGCTCAGACAACTGGATTGATGTCATAGAATTGGTTTGATCAATTTCCTTACAATGTTAAAACTGTTTGTAAAGAAATGGATGTTTTGTGGCTTGAAAATGTGCCAATGGACTGCCAGCGACAGGCTGACAATAAACTTGTAACATCTATCACCATGAAACACCAGGTTAAATGTATTTATGTTTAAACAGAAGAAAATTGTAAAAGTATTTGGCAATTGACTACTTATATGTAAGAGCTAGAACCCAGCCAATGTGAACATTTTGGCAATCACCATTATTGATATTGGGAGGGGAAGGATAATGCTGATAACAGATATAATGGCTGAATTTTTTTTATCTTTGTCCACCCAAGAATCTAAGTTAACAGCTACTTTTAAAGCTGTTTTAACACTTGAAATCTTGAAACATCTTCCTAACGTGCGTTCACATTTTCTGTCCTCCACTATTCACCATGAAGTTATCAAGTTTTACAAAAATATAAATTAAACAAAGAAACGCTCTTCCGTGTTCATTGTTTAAATAGTCAGTCACGTATGGTGAAGGTCTAATTAGTAGTGACCTACTACTGTTTGAACAGCCTAACAGTAGGCTGTTTTATTTGTACAGAAGTACTGGAACTACCGTATTTCAGACAAACAATGCATTTCATTGAGGACGACAACCATAACGTTACTAACACTGATACTGTATATATTTTAACTCTACGTCAGATTTATTGTTCTGGATTAAGGTGACCAGATTTATGACATTAAATCTCCAGCTCGGAGACAAAAAGGGAATAAAATATATCAAGATGAAATTAGGAACAGGGACATGTACGTTTCATTTATGTTTACATTTTTATTCACGTTCAAACAATAAAAATCAAATGTAGCAGCAGGAATGTATCTCTCAACACAAATTTCCTAAGAGTAATAAAACAAATTACTTTAATAGTAGTAGCAATGGTGTCAGAAGCATTTGTAATGTGGGGGGGGTCTGGGGGTCCCCCCTCAGAAAATTCTGAATAAAGTAGATCCCATTTCCTGCATTCTGATGTATTTTAACGGGTTGATACGTTTACCTCCATAAGTAAACAGTGGATTCAGTAACTATTTTAGAGAGCACGGTGGTTTGAGTATTCTCCCATTAATCAAGTGGAATGGATTTGTTCATGAAGAAATAGAAACGGAGCTGGGTGAACTAAAATGGTTCTGCGAGGCCTCCTCTGTCTGAAGAGCCATCAGCCGTGGTACCATGAAGGTCTGGATAGAATAAGATCAGAAAATGTTATGTACAGATAATAGTAAAGTGAAATACTTCAAACACAAGAAGAAATAAGACACAATTTAGTAATATCTACTTGTTCGCTTTATTTGCTCTTCCACTTATTTCATCTTGTCACTCAAAAAACTTCCTCTAATTATTTAACTAGTTTCCTCCTCCACTGACAAAATGCCAATAATCCTATTTTTTAGCAAAAAAAACTACATTTATTTGGAGCTCCAAACTCATAGAACAGAAGAAATGCACATTTAAGTAGATGATCTCTCGCTCATCATTTTCTTTCAGGTCTTGCTTCATTCAGTTTCCATTACTGATCACCATCACTGATCACCATCACTGATCACTATCCTGATCACCATCACTGATCACTATC